AAAAAAAAAAAAAAAAAAAAAAAAAAAAAAAAAAAAAAAAAAAAAAAAAAAAAAAAAAAAAAAAACACTATCACCCTTTAATACTTCCTATACAATTGCTACAGAACCATAGAACAAGGATAAAAATTGGGAAATTAACACTGATGCATTACTTCCATCTAATCTTCAGATACCTTTTAGGTTTTGCCAGTTGTCCCAACCTTGTCCTTTAGCACGAAAGACCTTCAGACCAGAGTCAGGCACTGCATTGAGCTAAGGCCTCTTTAGTATCATTTAGACGGGGACAGTTCCTGGGACCTTGACCCTCTGGGAGATGACAGGTCAGTTATTTTGCAGAAAGCTCCTCACTCAGGCCTGACGCCGCTTCTCATGATTCACGCAGGCTCTGTCTCCTTGGTGATGCTGTGTCTTTTTGTGTGTCGTAGAAGGTCAGAGCGGTATCAGTTTGTCTGATTATTTTGACTCCTTGATGAAATTGATGTCTGCCAGGCTTTTCCACTGAACAGTTAACTATTTTCCTCTTTAAAATAAATAAGTATTTTCTGAAGAGAAGCTTTAAAACTAGGTAAGTATTCTGTTTCTCATCAAACTTTCCATTTAAATGTCAGCATAGGCCAGTCACGGTGGCTCATGCCTGTAATTCCAGCACTTTGGGAGGCCGAGACTGGTGGCTCATTGGAGGCAAGGAGTTCGAGACCAGCCTGGGCAACATAGTGAGACCCCCACTGTCCCTGTCTCTACTGAAAACACAAAACAATTAGCCAGGCATGGTGCTGCACGCCTGTAATCCCAGCTACTCCAGAGGCTAAAGCATGAGAATCGCTTGAACCTGGGAGGTGGAGGTTGCAGTGAGCCAAGGTGTCACCACTGTACTCCAGCCTGGGCAACAGAGCAAGATTCTGTCTCAAAAAAAAAAAAAAAGTAAGTAAATGTCAGCATAGACTTATGGTTTCTATGTTATGTTAATGTTTATAATCCATTATTATTTGCTACTTTCATTATTTTCATTCTTTGTTTATTTATTATATATATATTTATTTATTTTAAATAAAGATGGGGTGTCACCGTGTTGGTCAGGCTGGTCTTGAACTCACGACCTCAAGTGATCCACCCGCCTTGGCCTCCAAAGTGCTTGGATTACAGGCGTGAGCCACCACGCCCGGCCTACTTTCATTATTTTATAATTTAACCAAAGCTGGTCAAATTGACCCAGCATTGGCAAGTGGGAGCTTCTTTAGGGTGGCTCTGGTGTGCTTTTGACGCTGCTCCCATCATGTTTTGAGCACTCACTTTTAGCCTCAACAAGATGTTCCAAGCTCAACTTGTACCTTCCTGGCCTCAGCCCTGGCACTGGCCTCTTCCCCAGGGAATCCTGTATCCTCTTAGAAGACACGATCTAGGCACTGGGTGTACATTTTGATTGAGGTGCTGCATCTCCCAGGGCCTCCCTGTGAGCAGAGGGAGGGAGTATCTGTACACACACTACATAAATAGTTATTTCTCCATCTGTGTATTTCTCCCTGATTTTTATCCTAGGAGAAGGACATGCTAGGGGAGTTGCTGCCACTGGGTTTGGAATCCTCCGCATTTAGTTCTTTTCTGGTTTTTTGTCTGTTTATGAGTTGGTTGGCATATTGGTTTCTAGGGCTGCCACAGCAAAGTATCACAGACCGGGCCATTTCTTCAAATACGGTCACATTCCAAGGTACTGGGGCTTAGACTTCAACCTAGGAATTTTAGTGGACATCACTCAGTCTATAACATTTGGTTTACCAGAAAAAGCAGCACACAATTTGGCAAAGGTCTGTGTGTTCTCAATCAAGAGGATTTAGGTTTAAAAGAAACAAACAATCACAAAAATTAAGAAACAAGATCATGATTCCCACTCACCTGGTGAGTGGGGGACCCAGTCTCCACTGAGGGAGGCCCAAGCCCACTCTCAATTCACGATCTCTTTCCCTTCCAGGACATTCCCAGACCAGCGGAGGCTTTATTCACCATAGTATGCATAATGTGGTTATAGTCAACTAATGATTTTAAGTTTTACTTTTGGCCAGGTGCAGTAGCTCACGCCTGTAATCCCAGCATGTTGGGAGGCTGAGGCAGGCAGATTGCTTAAGCTCAGCAGTTCCAGACCAGCCTGGGGAACATGGCAAAATCCCGACTTTACTGAAAATAAGAAAATTAGTTGGGTATGGTGATGCACACCTGTAGTCCCAGCTACTTGGGGGAGCTGAGCCCAGGTGGTGGAGGTTACAGTGAGCCATGATCACACCACTGCGCTCCAGCCTGGGCAAAAGCGTGAAACCCTGTCTCAAAAAATATAAATAAATAAATAAATAAATAAATAATAAATAAATTTACTTTTAACATCCTTAAAAGTGTCCTTTTAGAATTTGTTAATTTATTAAAAATTTATTACTTTGACCCTCAAGCTAAGTAGATACAGTATTGAGAGGGTTCAAGTTCTCAAAAACCATCTTCTTTTTTTCAGTGTTGCCAGTTCTACATTTAGTCCAACCATTCGCTTTTTAAAAAACATTTAAACCAGATGAGAAACAAAATTTCTTCTTCATTTATTTTCATCTCACTTTTTTTAGAAACTACTATTCATTAGACTGAAACTTGTCAGCAACCTCAAAGTCAACCAGGAAGTTATCTTTAGAAACAAATTATCTTCTAATGAATTTATAGCTTGATTTGATGATTAACTAGATACTTTGTTTCTTTTCTTTCCTAGTCTCTCTTTTCTCCTTGTGTCAGGATGTTTGAAAAAGACCAGAGTATCCCCACCCACTTGGGTTTCTATATCCTAAGGAGACAACATGTAGGGGAGAGAATGTTGGCCTATAATATTATGTTATATAATGCTATAAAGGCAGCTACAGAGGTGTCTTGTTTAGGGATGTCACCACACTCATTTGCATTTCACACTGGGTAACACAAGCACGCAAGTGTGTTATTTGATCTGGCCAAGGCTAACTTTTATTTGTCAGGACAGATTTTTCACAAAGCTTCTGTGCATCAGGTCAGCTGACCAAGCCGGGGTGGGATGGGGTGGGGAGTGCACAGTGGATGAGCTGGGCTGTGAGCTGCCCACCTGCCAGCTGTGTTGTTAGGGACAAGTCACTCAATCTCACTGAGATTCCATTTCCTCTACAGGTATTGATCGACTTACGACCTATGCAACTTACGACCATTCGACTTTACAACCACAATCGCTAGCCACGACTGCTCCGCGTCTGGCAGCGCAAATGTTGCCCAGCTGGGCGTACAACAGTGCTGACCAGCTTCCGGCAGCACTACCATCTCCGCGTGCATATAGCCCACTCAACTTATGACCAAATCGTGTTACGACCAGTCTGTCAGAATCATTCATGGTCGTAGGTCGAGCACTAGCTGTACTACAAAATGGGGATCATTTCTACCTGTCTGAGCACCTAGCACACAGCAAACATTCAACAATAACTTCATGTTGAATGAATATGGAATGAAAAAGAGCTAATGTGTGCAAATACGTTGACACCTTGCCTCTAGGATGCGCCAACGTCTGCAATAATACTCATTAGCCCAGGAGAGGAATTGGGATAAAAGGCAGGTGAAAAAGAGAGATATGTGGCAAGGTTTATTATTCCTGTGTGTAGGTATACAGTGTGTCTCACTCAGCTGGGGCTGCTATAACAAATGACTATATACTGGGAAGTTTAAAAACAAAAATTACTGTAATTTCTGATCGTTCTGGAGGCTGGAGTGTCTGAGATCAAAGGTCAGGTTCTGGTGAGGACCCTCTTCTGGGTTGCAGACTTCCATCTTCTGGCTGTGTCCTCACTTGTCAGAAAGAGAGAAAGAGAGCTCTGAGGTCCCTTTCTTTTCTTTTCTTTTCTTTTTCTTCCTTCCTTCCTTCCTTCCTTCCTTCCTTCCTTCCTTCCATCCCTCCTTCCCTCCTTCTTCCTTTTTTTGTTTCCCTGAGGCAAGGTCTTGTTCTGTCACCCAGGTGGGAATGCAGTGGCTCATTCCTACTGCAATCAGGGCTCACTGCAGCCTCGACTTCCTGGGTTCAAGCAATCCTCCTGCCTCATTTTATGATTTTTTATAGAGACAGGTCTCACTATGTTGCCCAGGCTGGGCTAGAACTCCCGGGCTCAAGCAATCCTTCTACCTCGTCCTCCCAAAGTGCTGGGATTACGGGTGTGTGCCACCACACCCAGTAAAGTCTCATTCATCAGGGCACTAATCCCATTGATGAGGGGCTCCACCCTCATGACCTAACCACCTCCCCAGGCCCCACCTCCTAATACCATTACACTGGGGTTAGGATTTCAATTTATGAGCTTTGAGGCAATACCAACACTCAGTCCATAACAATGGGTAAAAGACAAAGTAACTGCTATAAGAGTATACAATAGAAATCAGAGGAACCGGCCGGGCGCTGTGGCTCATGCCTGTAATCCTAGCACTTTGGGAGGCCGAGGTGGGTGGATCACCTGAGGTCAGGAGTTCAAGGCCAGCCTGGCCATCAAGGTGAAACCCCACCTTAAAAAATAAAAAATAAATAAATAAAAAGAAATCGGAGGAACCACAGTTCATTTCCTGTGGACAAACATTCCCTTATCCTTATCCTGGTACGATATGTCACACAGCTGTCATTGTTTCTTTTTTCTTTTTTCTTT